AGATGGTAAAAAACAGAATATTAAAATAGGAACCTCCTATGATCAATAGGATCCAAAATAGCATTTGATTATTAAGAGCTGAAAATTGATCAGATTATAAGTGATGTTCTTAATTTGATGATCCAATTTATTGATGGTATATATAGAGCTGTTAAAAGTTGAAGTTAAATTGAAAGGAGAACTTTTCGAGCTTTATTTTTTTTAGACTGGAACTTCAAGTTGAAACGCGCTAAAAAATTGACAGTATCTCACCTTTTATGGCACGCAATTCATTCATGTTTTTTTTTAGCTGGGGTAGCTCGATAAAATAATACTGGTGTACTTTAACCTCTAGAAAAAATCAGAAAACCGGAATTATTTTTTCCATAAACAAGTTCTTGAATTTTACTACTTACTTTATCATTTATATAAATATGTAATATAAATTATAAATTAATACTCCAAATGTATTTATGTAAATTAAAATATAAAACGACTTGTTTTTTTAAGAAGTTTTTACAATATCTGAATAGATAAATGATTTTATAATCTATTCAGATGAAATTCAAATTTCAATGAAATTTTACAACGTTTTTTTTTGTACTTTACAAAAAGAATAAATAATAATTATTATATATTTGTAAATAATACACATTAGTCAGTACAATTTTTAAATTTATTAAGAAATAATAGTAAAATTCAAATATGGAAAAAGTTTACTCTTTGATTTTTTTTGGAATTTTACAATTTTTCCGGTAAGTCAAAATAGCGCAGTCATTATTATTTTATCGAGCTACCACAATTGAAAAAATTAAGCCTCTGCGTGATATGCAAAACCGAGATATTGCAAAAATTTTCAGCGCACAGATATTCTAACAAGAAGACTCCTTATCGATATATGCCATCTATAAAATGGATTGTAAAATTTAGATCTTTGTTTATAATCTATTCCATTTCTAGCTTTTAATATTAATAGAGGAGAAGGTGGGAATATGGCCCATGCTGGTAAATCGGCCCCCGAGTGAATTTGTTACTTCCGCCAATGCGAATGTTGATTTACACTTGATACTACATCTATCTTTATCTAACGAAACTTGTCAGGACCCGAGAACTACCGCGCTTAGCCTTTAGTCGACTTAAACAGCTCGCTTCATTCACGTGCTTAACAAAACTTTTTGCTGCTACTTGTGTTTATGTTGTTTTTTTCCAAGAAACCAGTTATAAACATTATCTTTCTCTGATTAGTGTGTAGAAAAAACGTTGCATATCGACTTTTAAAGGTAGCTATGAACATTTTGCAATAGATATAACTTGTTTTTGATATTTTGTTTATAATGTAACTATTTATTTAATATGGCCCCCTGAATGTGTATGCATTATGGACCCGGGTTCATATTACATACACATTGAGGGGGCCATATTACATGTTTGCATTTTATTATTTCCAGATGCCTCGTACAAACCTTTCTCCTAAATCTGAGAAAAAAAAGAGGAAATTGTGGAGTCCTAACGACATGAAAAAGGCAATAGAGGCTGTTTCGTAATAAGCATATGGGTTTTAAAGAAAGCAGTCAAAACAATTTGCTGTACCAAGAACTACGTTAAGAAGCTAGTTCAATGATCCTGAGTTATCATTGGATATGTTAGTACGAAAACCGTTAGGTAGAAAAACTATTTTACCTTTATCTCTGGAGAAACAATTAGTTGATTATCTTTTGCAAATGGAGCGCACCTTTTATGGACTTACACGCTTGGATGTTAGGCGAATGGCTTATCAATTAGCAGTCAGAAATAACATCCAGAATGCATTTCAAAATGAAAGAGCAGGTAGAGCATGGCTCGACCATTTCTTAAATAGACATAAAAAGCAATTATCTCTCAGAAAACCAATGGGAACATCTTACGCTCGAGTGCAAGGATTCAATCGCCCTGCTGTTAAGGAGTTTTTTCATCTGTTAGAAGTTGAATATGCAAGAAAAAATTATTCTCCCGACCGTGTCTATAACGTAGATGAAACTGGACTCACAATCGTGCAATCAAAAGTACCGCAAGTAATAGGACGAAAAGGTAAAAGGCAAATAGGGGCGTTAACTGCAGCAGAACGCGGATCTTTAGTGACGTTGGTGTGCGCAATGAGCGCAGGAGGGACTTTCATCGCACCAATGTTAATTTTTCCAAGAAAAAAATTTACAGATGTATTAATAGAAAGGGGCTCCGCCAGGAGCAATCGGAAAAGTACACCCTTCCGGTTGGATACAAACCAATTTATTTTCTGAATGGTTCAATCATTTTGTATCAAAGACCAATCCAACAGAGGATTCTCCGCTCCTTCTTATACTTGATGGACATTACAGCCACACTCGTAATGTTGATATTCTAGAAGTTGCTCGTGAAAAGCATGTCACCATTATTAGCTTGCCTCCTCATACTACGCACAAGCTGCAACCGCTTGACAAAACATTTATGGGTGCACTTAAATCTCATTATAGTGAGGAAATAAGAAAATTTCTGTTACATTCTGACAGAATGCTTAAGCCTCATGATATTGCTGAGTTATTGGTAAAGCTTACTTAAAATGTGCAACAGCTGAGATCGCAGTAAATGGTTTTAAAGCGACTGGAATATATCCCTTCAATCCTCAAATTTTTAAGGATGCTGATTTTCTAGCAGAGTCACAATCGCTTCAAATGGAAGAGGAAAATATATCATCGAATACAACGTCTTCGATGATGAACCAACTAAGTCGTCTGTCGAAACTGCTACATCAACTGTAGAATCGTCGCTCCAACCCACTTCATGCACTGTTCCTGAATCCTCCATTCAACTGAAGTCATGTGCTCCAAGCACGTCAACATCAGATTTAGTATCTCTTCAACCCAAATCATCTAACGAGCATGGAAGACTGTTAACTAATAAATCTTCTGTCTTCTATTCAAAACCAGGAACATCATCAGCTGTAAACCCTTCGCTTTATACTAACCCCATCAAATATCACCAATACCCAACCTAAAATAAAAACCTCAAATCGAGGAAGAAAATCAACAAAAGCCACTGTAATTACATCATCGCCTTATAAATATGAATTAGAACAATCTCTTAAGAAAACTGAAGACCGTAAACAGAGTTGTGGACGCGGAAAGGGACGAGGACGAGGTCGAATTTGCAAAAAAGCCCAAGGAAGTTAGAGAAACGTATTACCGTCGAAGATTCTGACACCGAAGAAAGTGATCTTTCCAATATGAAGAGGATACAGATTCCGAACTAAGTTCACAGGGTTCAATTCCTGATAACGACGACGCCATGTGCATCTTTGCGAGGAGTCTTATTCAAGTAATAGCAGAGGGGAGACTTGGATACAGTGTCAGAGCTGTCTTTTGTGGGCACACAATGAATGTGCCGGTGCCGAAACTGAACATTATGTTTGCGATTTCTGCCGATAGATTTTTGTATTCATTTAATATGGCCCCCTGGGGGGCCCTATATAGAGTGACGTTATTTGTTTTTACAGTTTTCTAGATACTGACAAGAATAATTTTTTTTATATATTAGATCTTGATTTTTTTTATTTTTTTCAATAATATTGTATTAGTATTAAACTAATAGTTATGTGGATGAAAATTAAAATTTAAAAATGTTGATTGTTTATAATCTCTAGTCGAAAAACAAATTAGGGGCCGTATTCCCCACCTCTCCTCTAAATAATTAAAGTATGGAAAGTATAGGATAGTAAAGTTGGACTTTTTTAATATATCTTATTAATCAATAAAATTGAATTTGAGGCTTCAATAAAAATTGAAGCCTCTACGTCTTGTACGTCTACAAGGATTTCTTATCAGCTATACCTTTTAGAACCTTCAAAAGCCTGTATAAGATTTTTTTAGCTGTTTTTCTTTTCTTTACTGACCTATAAGGAATATAGACAGAATAATAATTTATTTTCATTAATAAGTCATTGAGTTCAAAATGCAATCAAAAACTTGAATATTTATAAATAAAAAATAAAAAAATTTAAAAAGAACCTAAGAGTACATTGATAACTTTGACTTGTTATATTATTTTTTTCTTTATTGTTTTTAAATTGGAATAACTAATATTTCATCAATAGTATACTAAAATACTAACAATTCCAAAATTCACTGAACTATTTGACTCTTTTTTAGCGTATAAATTATTGTTGTTTTTTGGAACACGAATGAATTAAATGATGAGCTTAAGGCTTATCTTTTAGGACATATTCTCTGTTCCTGGTTGCAACAGTTGGGTTTGACTTTATTAATTTGAGGTTTTTATAATCGAATGCATGTTTTTGTTTTCCAACCAAAAAATTAAGATACCTAATAAAATGTTTGTATTTCACAATTATGTTATATGATCTTTGCCTGAGATATACCTTTTTTAGTTAACGTAAATAATCATCTTCAAATCGTTTCCGGTCCACATATCTTAGAACGAATTCCATTCGTGGAAGAATATGGAAATAAGTCCGCCAGGAAGATGTGTAGATGGTGTCAACAGAAGGACGTTAGAAGATTCACTAGGTACCATTGCAATCAGTGTATTGGTGAACCGGGGCTGTGTGTGTATCCGTGCTTTAAAGAATTCCATGACCACCATCAGATTTAGTTACTTTTTGAACAAAAAATTATTATTGAATTTTTTTAAATATATGTATATTTAGTTGATTATTTTATTTTATTTTATTTTTATTTTTATTTGTATTAGATTTTTCCTTACTTTCAACAATATTTGATCATAATGTAGAATAATGCTACATACCTTTAAATTTTCAACTTAAACGTTCCAATAAACAAGTAGTAAGTCTAAACATAAAAAATCATATTAAGATCCTGTTTATTGGTAGTAAACTAACTTTTATTAAATATGTTCTGGAAAATAATCTATTTACTTGCTTATCTGATCTTGACAAACAAATGTGATTGATTTTGATTTAAAAATTTAGGTTAACATAAGGTGGTGGGTTTTTTACTATATTGTTAATAGTTTCTTTATGTGGACTGTTCCTAGTAAATCATCATCGCTTCATATTTATCCGTTAAAAAGTCAGGTTTCGGCGATATCACTTGTATATCAATGTCTTCAGCGTCTCTAAAATTAGGATAACTTATTAAATCTTCTAATTCTTGTAATTATGTCGCTTCTTCGACACCTCTATAAAGATCATAAATTTGTAGACTTATAGGAAAAAAATAATTTACTTTATTTTTATGAATATTATTTAAAATGAAATATTAGTTACTAACCGCGAAACAATTTCCCCAAATATAAATTACAAATTAAAGTAAAAAAATACAACGACTTGTGCACAGATTCACATTCAATTGAATACACAAATGCTGCTTTTGATCACGCTAAGTACCAGTGTCCGATTTATCGAACAGTAAAATAAGACTTATAATGACAATTAAGCAATTTATATTTCCAAAATTTATAATAAACATTACTTAAAAAGAATAATTCAGTAAAAGATACGAGATGCCGATATGAAACTTATTTATTAAATATATAAATCTAAACAAAGTCAGCAATTGTGTCCAATGTTTAAATTTTTTATTAATAAAATAATATTGGTAATCAACAAATAAATTTATATTTCAGTTTACTACATACCTAAATTAAATGTAGTTTGATATTTTTTTAAATACAAATTGTTAAAGTCGATAAAAAATAAAATTTTCAGTGTCCTATAAGTAGGACGCTGGTTCATAATGGGTTTTAGTGATCGTTTAAAAGTTTGCGTGCTAATTAATCGCCATGCAAATATATATATAATATATATATATATAATATATATAATATATATATACATTTAATTCAAGTTTAAAACTTAATAATAAGTAGTCTCCTTTCCTATTGTGTTTGTCATAAAATATAATAAATATACAATATAAATTAAAATAATATTCTTAAGAAATGTAGCTTATTACATGAATAGCTCCAGTTTGTCAAAAAATATTACTCTCTCTCTCTCTCTATATATATATAATATATATAATATAATATATATATTATTTACACTGTAACCACAAGGTTATTAGCGACCTAAAAAATATAATACAAGTAAATTTAGAAAAAATTACAATATTTGATACAGTCTTGAGTCTTTAACATAACTTATTGTGTTTTTAATGTTGATGTTTTTTTTCTAAGTCTTCGTTTATATTATTTGGGATAGTCTGCTTCTTTCTTGCTGCTTCCTATGTTTTGCACTGAGTGTAAAGTTACTGTGTCCTATTCGGAAACGTGTTTATTCTCACTTGATCGTGTCTATTCGTTGAGGGTTGGAGCCACGTTTCACTAATTGTCTATAATTTCCTTGAGTTTATTTTTTGATGCATTCCACTTATTTTGCCACGCACTTAACACTTTATTTTTTATTTCTATTCTATTTGTTAAGTCATCTGAAGAAACCTCAGTAATAAGAATGGAGTCCTGGCTGAAGGATGCTAAGCGGGCTAGTTCATCTGCTTCTTCATTTCCTTGTATACCTGAATGTGATGGAACAAACATGAAGTCAGCAGTGATCTTATTATTATTTAGAATCTATATTTTTGATTGGATATGTGAGGCAATTGGATTATTGGTATATAAACGATTGATAGCGTGAATATTATGAGAGACGGGGACTGTTTCGACTCTTTTATGTGGATTAGTGCCAATTTTGCAGTGTATGACGAAGTAACGGGATTGAATTTAAATTTTAAGGATGTATTGGGTGTGAGCATGGCTACACCAACACCGTCTGAAGATTTGGATGCGTCGCTGTATATCTTATAGTGATTTTTATAAGTTTCCATTTCTATTAAGAATATTGTTTGATCAGGTCTGTTATAGTCTCACTTTTTTATATATACTAAGGTTAGTATTACTCTTGGGAATTGGTATTAACCAAGGTGGAGAAGTTAGGATATTTGTTGGGAGAATTTTAGGAAATTCAAGATGTAGGTCATGAAGGTTTCTTCTAACTCTTTCGTAAAATGGTGGATCTAGTCTTGTTGTAGAGAATGTGTCTTGAAATCGATCTGTGAACGTATTGGTATAAGTGGGGTGTTCTCTATTACAAGCTATTTTAGAAGCATATGAGAGAGAAAGGTATTTACATCGTAAACTTAAAGGTTTCCAATACTGATACTTTGCTTGATAAATAAACTATCGCACCATAGTCGAGTTTGAATCTAACTAAAGATTTATATACATGTAATAGTGTATTTTGATCTGTTCCCTAGTTTTTTGCTGGAAATAGTTTTCATAAAATTTAATCCTGCTTATCATAATTTTTAAGTTCTTCTGTATGTTTTTTTCCATGAGACCTTTTGGTCGAAAACCATACCAAAAAATTATTATTACCATATTTGTGAAACTAAGGGTTTGATTATATAACTTCAGATGTGGAGTTAGAGTGTTACGTTTTCGTGTGAATAAAATACATTTAGTTTTTGTCGGTGAAAATTGTAATCCTACAGTCCTACACATGTTCTACATGTTCGTATATCCTACAGTTATACATGTTTTTGAATAGATGTTGAGTTTTTTCCTTTGGCAAATAAAACTAAGTCATCAGCGTATAATCTTCCTTTAACAATCGGTGAGCATTGTTGAAGTATGTCGTTTATGGCTATTAGAAAAAGGGTTGAGCTTAAAACTGATCCTTGTGGTACTCCGTTCTCTTGAACTTTTTTATCTGAGTTAACGTCGTCTGATCGAACTATGAAGCTACGAGATTGAAGAAAATTTGAAATAAATTTGTATAAAACATATTGTATAAAATCTATTTCGGTTTGATGAGATGTTCTTGTAAAATGTATCTAAAAGGAATGAGTGACCAATAAATGGCAAAATTAAATTAACTGAACGTTTAAACTATTTTCCAAACATATATCTAACAATATATTCTCCATGATGAATAAATATTACGTAACAAAATATTCTATATGATGATCAAATATTACGATAAATGTATTTAATATGTAATATTTTGGTTAATTATAGTTTCATTTTTTATTTCGTAGACTTTGTATTTTATTTTGTTTGTTTTCTTTTGTCTTTTTTTATTTAACAAAACACTTTCAGGTTACATACTTTTTGACCCGCCCGAGTATAACTGCCCCAAATGTTTTAAGATATACGCCAAAAAGTCAACACTGGCCAGACACATCAAATACGAGTGCGGACAATTGCCGAGGTTTGGGTGCGCAATTTGCGCCTACAGGGGTTATCAGAAAACCCACGTCGAGCGACATCTGCTTCGAAGACACGATATACAGAATAAGTTCGAAATTAAGAAAAACATTTGTACTTACGATGGAAACAAATGGCAATTGTCACAAACTAGAAAACACCAGCAGTGAGTCGAGGTAGTGAAGTTAAAGATCAAAATAAATATGAATAAAACCGTAAAGCTAAATTTCTGTAAGACTGTTAAATGGCGCCTTTGCTTCTCTTAATTTAATGATTTTGTTTAAAACAATTTCTTGGTTTTTTGAACTGCAACACAAGTTTTTGGTGACAACACCTACCAAATTGTTAATATTTCTGTACTAGAGTATGTTTCGTCAATATGCGATCATTTTGGATTAACTATGGGATTATATATATATGTATGTGGTAATAAGAAAATAAAAACATATTACCTGCAGTATTAACAAGCATATGTTTCATAGTCATAATCAATGTTCCCGCTATCTTCTTTTGAATTGTTAATTGTAATAGGATTAACATTTTCGGTACGATTTTGACACAATAACACTTGATATACAAACATAATTTTAGTGATATTATTTTCCTTTACCGACATGTTCCACCTAGGCGTCTGCCCCAGTTCTTCTTTGGTCTTTCTCTTCTATTCCTTCGAGGAACTTGACTGTACTTATTCTTAATGTTATTCTTTTTATCACTCAATTTTTCTATCTAATGATTCTATCTAATGATTTGCACAACGTGAATTTGTTCTTTCTCTTTTTTTTAACTGTCCAATATTCAGTTCCATACACCATAGCTGGTCTTATGGCATTATTTACAATTTTTATTTTAGCTTCATTGGAATCCTTCTACCACACAACAAACTACTCGCTACTACTCGCTTTCGTCCACTTCATCCTTCCCGTACTAATTCTACTTCGAACATCTCCATAATATATTCCCTCATTGCCATGTAATTCCGATCCTAGCCTCTTAAAACTATTATTATTATTCACAATCGTTACACCATCCAAAGTTATCAGTTTTTGTAGGATGTCATTATTGTAATATTCCAAAATCTTCTTTTTTATTCTACTAAGTTTTAAACGTTTTTCTCAAGACCTTCTCTCCACTGTCCCAGTTTTGTTCTAAATCCAATCTCTTTCAATATTTCCTACTAACACTACATCATCAGCATACATTAAGCACCCGAAAATAATAAAATGTAGTTGCTTTTAATCTAATCCAGCACTAATGAGAATAAATAGGGATTAAGCAGTAATACTACTTTCATATAAAATTTATCAATCGTTCTCACATTTGTCCTATGTCTCCCTCATACATGACTCTCTCAATATTCACCGGAACTCCTTTCTTATTGAGCGATTCAAAGAATCTCTCAAGGAACTCTATTATATGCTTTCTCAAGCTCAATGAATACCATATCAGCGTTTGTTTCGTTATTTTTGTATTTTCCTTCAGCTGCCTTATAATGCAATTGCATCTGTTGTTAATATGCATTGCATAAAACCAAACTAATTCTCGGATATTTTAGTTTCTTCACATACCCGCCTATCAGTAACCCATATTTTCATAGTGTCCCTATGTAAGTTTATGCCATGTAGGATGTGCATTGTTTTCTATCTCCTTTGTTTTTGTAAACAGATACTAATATACTGATTCTTTATTCGTTTGGCATTTGTGCCACTTCCATAATTCTAATAAGTAAACCCGTTAGATAAGATAAGATAAGATAAAGATTGCCATGATGATCGCCAACATTCGTAACGGATAGGCACATCAAGAAGAAGAAGAAACCTGTTAGCCAACTTGTTTTTCCTAAAGCTACACACACTCTCCCAGTGATATCATATGGTCCACTTGCTTTAGTTTTTTTTAAGTGGTTGAACAATGTCCTCGTTTATTACTTTGGTGACCCATGCTGTTACTGACTCAGATTGCTCAATTGCTTTTCTGTCAAAATAAGTTTACTTTCTTTTGACGTAATGTGTTAACAATTCCCATATCTAATAATGTTGCTAATTCCATATCATATCCAGCTTTATTTCTAGTTCCAAAGTCTAGTCCTTCAGGTATTTCTTTATATCCTCTGTTAGATTGACCCACGTGTGCATTAAAATCACCCCCTCTTAAGACTCTGATGGATTTATTATTTCTTCTGATTGATTATAGAAAATATTTCTTTTATTCTCGCTCAAACCGAATGGAAGAGTACGACAAAAGCGGATGACTTCTAGGTGAGTAATTAGAATATTCACCAGTTCTTGCCGTCAACATCCACCAAATACACCAAATATTAATGCAACTTTCTTTATTAAAAACGTCTCACTTGACGCTTCATGAATAACTTTTAAAACATCTTCTCTAGATAGAACCTTAAACTTAATTCTGGTATTCTTTTGACCCTTTCTTCAACTATTTATTTATTTATTAAAGGCCCCCACTAAATGCTTCTTTATCATTGAATATTTAGACCATAAAGAACTTGTAATTTGTCGTATTCTTTGTCGTATGTGTCTTTCGTTTTCTGCACGTTTTGTGTTACTTTTCCGCCCTTTCTGCGATTTCATCGGAAATTTCAAAAGTTTCCTGCATTTTTACTTTTTAGGTTTGACAGCAGTATTTATATTTAACGTCGGTAATTTATCATTACCCTAACGACGATATTGCCTACTGTATTATGATAAATTTTTGGAATTTTTAAGAATACTTAGATTGTGAATACGATAACAAACTAGTATAACATAAAAGTTTGTATCCACCATGGGCATCAATAGATGTGTATATACCCTTGAGCGATTCAGAGCGAACAAGATAGTCGTCCTCACGCGTATACATCTGCTTAATGCCCTTGGTACATACTTTAAATTTAGAAAGAGTTCCGATATTAGAATAGGCCACATTCATAACTTTATATGTACGCCAGCGGAACATTGACTATCGATTTTCTAGCGATAATCCAAATTAACCGCAAAATTGATGTAATAAACTTACGAATAAACATCTGAAGAAGCCACATTGGCTTTTTCGAATTGGAAATTTTTAATCGTATTAAACACATACAAGAACTGATACCACACTCTACTCGGCATTATATGCCTTCTAATCAACACCTCTGTGATTGTGTTAATCGTGTTTTTTCACCAGCACAATTATTCTTATCTTCACCGAACTGGCATTTTCCTACCGTGGATCCCGTCGAAATATCATTACTTCCCGGCTGTCATTGCAGACTCGAAATGCGGCACCACGCCGAGATTTCGACGCTGTTCTTCTTCTTGTTTTTTGTGCACTCCACGGAATTCTTATAGGAAAAGGGGCCAACGGTATTGTCTTTGACAGTCTTTCTAGTTTAGCCGATCGAAAAATTCTACCGATTCGACGCTATTCTTTTAGAATTGATGACATTGTACGTGTTGTTAATCTGAGCACAGTTTCAGATGGTATCCAACAATGTTCTATGCAATATTGCACAGTACTTGATTTTAAGTACTTGATAGCTGGGCCGGCATTTATTCTCCTCCTTCTTCAATTCATCCACAGACTTACGACGATCAGCCGCAGACACTTCTTCACGGTCTCGCGAAACCTCCGGCCGTTTTCCACAAAAAAAGTAAATACCGTGGCAAGACAAACCGAAAAAAAGAAGACAGTAGACCACGGAGAGAAAGGTTCTACGTTCGGCTGCCATGTTTTCGATGGTAGAGGTCAGCTTATCGAGGCGTTCTTCTAGTTGTTTATTTAGTTCGTCTCTTTTTTGTGTTTCTTCGCGCATCTCTTCTACTTGCTTCTTGTACCGCTTACTTAATTCTTCCAGGTACTGGCTTGACAGGGACATATTGCGTTCTAGTGCTTTAATTCTATTGAATAACCTCAAAAATATTGATTCCTTGGCGGCTTGCAGGCTATTACCCGAGGCACTGCTTGCTACTACGGTGTTCCGCAGTCAAATCTGATATAATATTATTCAACTGATCGTCTAAGACGTCTGTCCCTTCGGTATATACATCACCCTCAGTAACAAAAGTCCCTTCGGTGGTACTTTCTGGGAAAATAGCTCCGGTTTCTGGTAAATCGGTGACTGTCTCCACAGTTGCGACGCTTTCCGACGGTGTTTCTTGAGTGTCTGATTTCGGAAGATCATTCACTTTATGAGTCTTGGTGGTTTTGATCTGATCTATCTCATCCGTGGAAACATTATTAATAGTATAATTCCGCAAGATATCACTAGATGTAACCGACTCAACGACTCTCACTTCGTGAATCTCTATGTTCATCTCAATCAATTTCTCATTGGAAATCTTCTTGGTGATGTTATTGAACTGTTGACTAACATTAGGTACTCCGTAATTCTCTAATATTGGTGCCTCATTACACATTGCACCTATTTAGGGCTCAGTAAAGAACGCTTCGATATTCTTGATCAGATAGTTCCGATCCGAATGGTTTTTGAAATCGTAGCCGAACTTTTTGCATATGCACGACCATATTAAAGCTTTGGGGATGAAAGAGATGCTGACGATTCGTCTTCGATTTGATCTCGACTTTAATATATTTCCCAAACAGTTCGGTATCCAAGTCGAAGCTGTGTATATCTCTCTCGTCTTCGGCGGTGAATTTTCCTACTTGTGCCCAATAACAAGTTGGAATCCTTTCACTGACTGATATTGTAAACTCTTTAGGCGACGAAGAAAACAATTCGTAGTTGGCAAGATCGATCTTTTCGGCTTGCATAGCTTCACACAGTTCTACAACGAACCATATACGACTGGTGCAAGGATTCAGCTTGTATTCGTCGCTGGAGGGCGACAAAATAGCTCCGGGACTGATCGCCTCCGGATTTGCCGCTACCACTTTTGCTCCACAGTCTAACGAGACGTAGTTTTTCCAACGGAGCTTCGCATTCTGGGTTTAACCATTAGGAACTTAATTTCCCTTCATAGAAGAATTAATCTGTTCGTTTTTCTCGACCTCTTCCAGCCTCTTTTGGGCCCATTCGAAAAACGAAGTAATGTCTTCAGTCTTTCCTTCGGTGGCATTATTTTCACTTTCCCTGCTTTGTACGACCGTCTCTTCGACTTTCTTCTCTTCCGTTTCGGAAGTGTTCGCGGAAATGTTAATTGAAATGTTAACGTTTTCGCTTTCTAGGATTTTCTTCGAGGCGATCTCTTTGTTTTAACTAGTTTAAACTATGTTTAGGATTAAACTTAAGAGGTCGCTGGTTAAATGGTATTGGATAAATTAGGAATAAAGAAAAAATGCAATATTGTTTGTACATAAAAGTAGCGAAAAATAGCAACTATAAATTATGAATAAATTATGAAATTGACTGATTTTACTCATTATCGTTGTTTGTACAAAGAACATAGACTTACCCTTTGGTTCTCTTGATGTATTCTTAACAGGAATGAAGAGTTGGTCGCGGTACCGACGCTAGCATCGTCGAGGCTAAGCACAAGAACCGTCCAAACTAGGTCGGTGTAGATCGCTGTCTGTTCTTGAAGTAAAGTCTTGAGAGTCTTGAGATCGTCACTAGGGCAAAAACCACCCTCTAACCGTTGGGTGGTCAACATCTCGTAGGCCAGGGCATGCCATAAATCAACCCTATTGTCGGACGATTTTGAATGGCGATAATTTAAAGTTATTTAAAGTATTGTTACGGTAATACGAAACCTTACACTTGTTTCAATCTTTGTGACACCGAATACAAAGGAAAAAGCCTAATTCTGCGTACTTCAACATAATAAATGAAAATGCCAGTTTAAGTTTTATGAAATAACAGGAAATAATATATTTTAAAAAGGTTTTTAAAATACAGCATTAAATTAGATTACATTATAGTACCGTAACAGAACTGTAAAAATATGAAAGGAATTCGTTCATTCTTTCCCGAAGTTTCTCCCGCTTCAAAAACGAATGTTTTTAAGAACAGCTAAAAGTATAAGTATAAAGAATAGACATGAAAAGACCGATATACTAATTAAGAAGTAAGTAAGAATAAAATATGGATTAACAAATAAGCGACGATCATATTTTGACCACAGAACATTGTTGAATGTCATCTGAAACTGTGCTCAGATTAACAACGAGTACAATGTCATCAATTAGAAAAGAATAGCGTCGAATCGGTAGAATTTTTCGATCGGCTAAACTAGAAAGACTGTGTCAAAGACAATACTGTTGGCCCCTTTAACTATAAGAATTCCGTGGAGTGCACAAAAACAAGAAGAAGAACAGCGTCGAAATCTCGACGTGGTGTCGCATTTCAAGTCTGCAATGACAGCCTTGAAGTAATGATATTTCGACGAGATCCACGGTAGGAAAATGCCAGTTTGGTGAAGATTGTAATAATTGTGCCGGTGATAAAACAACACAACCATAGAGGTGTTGATTAGAAGGCATATAATGCCGAATAGAGTTTGTACATACTTTTCCGAACAATGTTTAATGTGATTTACTTTATATTTTTTTCTTTACATTTTGCTTTTATATATATCTCACTCTGCATGTCCTAGAAGAGCGTAATATCGTTATAGCATTTAATACATGTTTCTGTAGTTCTGCTATTAATTACGAATTAGGCGCCGTATATAAACAAGTATTTAAATATTTAGTCACATGATGCCTTTAAATTATGATTTACGTATATTTTGTTGAGAATTGTAAATTAAATCTACTTGAAAATGACAACCTGTGATATGACCACTTGAGGATCAAAAGTAATGTTTAGTATGCACTAGCTACAGTTAGACATATATACATTCCACCAACACTAGAACTGCGACCCGTGGTCAATTTGACCGCGGTATTCTTACTTGCATTTTACTAAATAGTATTTGGTGTACTCTTGGAGAGAAATAATTGTGGAAATCCTCTGCCACTAGTTGTTTCCCCGTGCACTAGAATTTGCATGTTGATGCCTCTGTATCAACTACTTCGGTTTTCGTTCTTGAACTACGTTGCATAATGTATTCATCGCGAAGCTCTTGCGTAGCTGAAGGATAATTTGATTATGTGATTTGCCTGTCACCACATTGTATAAAATATGCATATGTCCAATATACTATCAGCTATTTGTACTGATCATCGTCGTAATCCGGTTTTGGTGGTATATTTTCTTACCATTTGGTCGACTTCGTTAAAGTCAAATTTCGTTTCGTTATAAAACTTGACAGTTTCTGGAACATTTTTATTGCCATTACCTATTTCTACCGTAGGATGCATTGAACTTAGCAACAACACACGTTTTTGGTAGTTTTTTCTTGATACACAGTCATTATATATAGTCATTTTTGAGAATGATGATTGCGTATAGTGAAGACCTATTGTTTCTGGGGAAAGGTGGAACTTCGTTTTTAATATGATTGATTCATTGCTTTGACTATGCTGGTTCTTTTAGCTAGTAATTTTGCAGCAACAGTAATTATATGAAACCGTATTATGTAATCGTAGTAATCATATGAAACAGTTGCCTGCAGTTGCATTTCTTCCTTTTTCAAAAAGGGTGCAACAAATTTGCAACGGATTCTGGTACAGAATAAAAACCATTTAGGGCGTACATCGATTGTATATCCACGGCCATCAAGGACTTAATACCAAATCTACACCGAACTTTGATACGAAACAACTGTTTGACAACAGTCAAGTTTGCTCCCGGTTTATAAGAAAGCATGCAGTTCTTTACAAACGGATCACGTATCTGCTAGGCTGAAGCAAATTTTTCATAATTTCCCGGAATCCATAACGAGACATGGTTTGAGAAAAAATCGAAGGTCCGATTTTTGGCATGTTCCGACCGCAAATTATTCAGTTCAAGTGTGTTGGCACCATACGCACCTCGAGCATAAATAACTGCTATAAAAGGATCAATTTCACCTTGAGTCATAGATAAGTCTTTGCAATATACTTGTCTATGAGCTTTAGATTCTGTACACTTCACTATATGGCGAATGACGAAGCAATTGTTTGTCAATCAGAACCCGTTAAGTATTTGTTACCGTATTGTCGATGTTTCGAAATGCGTACGCTGTTAGACCTGAATTCTCCTTTTGAATAGTCTGTTGTGGTATCGTCCGGCAGTATTCTTCCATAACTGGACAAGATTCCAGATTGTTCCATTTTTAGAAGTCAACATTTTGGATTGTAGTTTCAGCCACTCCATTATCACCAACTGCACGATTTCCTTTGAAATTCTTTTTCTATTTTGTTTTCTTTTGCCACTTTGGAGTAATGCAGCAGTGACACTACTTATATTCATATATGGCCCTATAAACAATCTAATTTTTTAGTACAGTGCACATCATTGATTCTGAATTACATTACCTGGCTGCGCATCGCTACTTGAATTTTTAATATTCTATGGAATGTATTTTTTATTACTATCAAATATTACTTTACCTTCGAACCCACCTTCCGCAAGCTCTTCAAGGAGTTCTTCGTGGGCAAGAGGGCGAATCGACATATTCACACAAAAATGTTACAGACTAAAAGCAGAGTCAAACACTGGCGACTGACTAAATCTATAGCCATTTGCTTAAATTTTTTGGGAATGTTTAAAAGCCGCTTGTGATTATTACAAAAGAGATGCACACACGGTAGATAAAAGAAAGGTCATGACGGTCAAATTGACAGCTTCCGCGGTACTAGTGTTAAGGCTGGTAGTACCTACGTGTACTTGTTAAGAAAAGAAACTTTCAGCAGCATTCCTGCACTGTTGTTTATATTATCGGTTACTGTTTAATTGTTGGAGAGTTATGTAATTAAATAGAAATTATTAGGATGAGTAACGTTTACAATTTTATACCCACAGTATGACCAACTAGTAGTTCTTATTTTTTAATGAACAGGCAATAGCCCTAGTCTAAAAAACGGTTGTATGTCTTATTGTTTCATTACAAATTGTGCAATTATGAAATGGTTAGAATTGAGCAAATCATTATAGCAGTACGAATCGAGCAATCGGTTCCTTTTGAGTGTGAGTGTCTGCGCGACTAAGTCAGGAAACTTTGTTAGTTCTAAACAAGAAGGGAGCAAGGATTTAATATGCTATGAAAATCGAATCATTAATTTTTATTTACCTCAACATCTCATTTTCTTTCGCTAAAGAATACTGTTGTTTATGCTGTGGTTGTACTTATGTATTTGATATGTCGTATTCAGTTAGCTAATTATTTTGTACACTACAATATAAATGTTAATATATTTGTATATATCTATGGTATTTTATTTATAATAAATTAAAATTGTATTACTAGCTTGCAAGTTTTTTGTACTATCATGACAAATTTACATTTTAGAAGAAAGCAAAAACCTTTGAGATTGTTGTATAACTACACAGAACATTTTGTAATGGATTGTTGACATATACAATTGTTTGTGA